AGCCCATTCCGCTCCTCCCGGCGCACTTCCGGGGAACGAGACGGGGCGTGGCAACGGGGTCGTGCGAGGGACAAACCGCGCTGCGGAGACCGGCTGAGTTAGGGCTTCGCTCTTACTAGCGTTCCTGCTGCTGGAACCGGGAGGCTCCGGGCCGTGCGCGCCCGTGGGAAGCTAGGACGCGGAGGCTAAGGCCGGTTCTCTGGGGGCACTAAAGGCGGAAGGCTGACGGGGTGGGGGCTCTCCCTGTTCCGGCAGGGTTCTGGGCGTTTTGAAATCGCCTGGTATTGTCCCTGCCTTCCCAGCTGCACGATAGGCCTGGTAGGGCCCAGCGCCCCCACCGGCCGACTCTCGTTTGTTAAAAGGATAAATTGGGAGAAGTGCAGCAGGTAGCATATGGTTAAGCTGCTGGACTCCCGATGGTTCTGAGACAGGAGAAAGCTAGCAGTGGAAGTGGGTAAGGGGGCAGGAGCATCTGGTTCCAGGACCTGGTGGCTTGCTTTCTCTCTCCGCCCCACCCCCGTCACATTAAAATTAATTAATTCATTAACGTTAAAGAAAATTCCTCACCCAAAGGTAATATAGGCAAGAGATTAGTGAGGGATGTCTAACTAATAAAGCCACATTTAATATAGGCAATGAGGTGAGTCGGTGAGGCCAGCCACATTTGATAGAGCCAATGAGTTGAAAATAATCAGTGGGCCCAGCCAATGATCAACCCACACGACCTAGGTTAAAAATGATAAATCTGGCAGAATGCAACTGCCGGGATCTCTTGAACCTCTCTCTCTGTCTGTTCAGGCCCACACCTACGTCTCTGGAGTGTATTTTGCTTTTACTTAATAAACTACCTTTTCCTTTCACTATTTGCATGTTTCATTCATTTCTTTGTCAGAAACACCAAGAACCTGGATAACACAGAAGCCATCCTGTGACAGTTCAAATTCCAGACCTTCTTGGACTGGTGGCTTGAAACTCACACCAGGGGCGTGTGTGTGCCCAAAATCCTGAGAAGAGAATGGAGAAGGAATTGCAGCATGGCCATCCCCCTTAGGGGGTGATTTCTCACTTTCTATCTCTCTGTCTCTGTCTCTCCAGTGAAGCCCATACACCCTATAGCAAAAATCTCTCAAAAATGGTAAATAGGGCCAGCTGGCTGGCATGGTGGTTAAGACAGAGGGATCCCACATGGCTGATGGCCCGGTTTGAGTCCTGGGTCAGCCATTTGAAAAATACTCCCAGAAGGGGCCAGCAGATGGAGTAGCAGTTAAATCGTTGGACTCCCACATGACTGACAGCGATTTGAGTCCCAGACCAGATGGCTTGAGGCTTGAAACTCATGTCAGGTACGTGTGCGTGCATGTCCAAGATCCCAGGAGAATGGAGAAGAAAAAATTGTGACCATGGGGAAGGGGGAATGATTTGTCACTTTCCCTCTCACTCTCTATGTCTCTCTCTCTCTCTCTGTCTCTCTCTGGTGAGTGCATGCTCAGTAAGGCAAAAACCTCTAAAAAAGAGAAAGAAAGAAAAGAAAAGAAAGGAAAAAAAAGAAAATGTGCATGGGCCCAAAATCCTAAAAGGAGAAGGGGTTACAACACCTCCAAGGGGCCTGGGCAGATGGGAAGAGGCCATGCTGAAAGGGCCATACTCTCCCCTGGCTGTACCTGGCTCCCACACAACCTGGCTGGCTCAGTCCCATTCTCCGGACAGACATCCCCTCCTTTTACCTGGTGGCTATCCACAGGGTCAGGGGCGAGGGTTGGTTCTCACTTTCCTTCTCTCAGGCATGAGCCCTGTACCGAAAACAGATGAATGACGGTGAACTGGTCCCAGAGGGAGATGGCCCAGGGCAGGGGCATGCTAACATGTTCCTAAGTTGCACAGGGCAGGCTGGAAGGGGAATATACCGCAAAGGCTTTGGTTTTCTACCTGGTGGACCTGAACACAACAGGTGCTCCCTTGGTCCTGGCTGGGTTGATAGTCAAGAGAGAGAGAGAGAGATTTAAAAAAAAAAAAAAGTACAGTCACATGTGTGTTATTCCAAAAGAAGGGCCCTGACTGAATAGGGAGAGATCCTCCGATGGTGAAGGAGGACCCAGGATAATACAGCCTGAAAAGCAAGGAGGAGCTTTCAGGATGAGGGTAGTCACACCTCCCTGCCTTTGATCCAGCAGTTCCCTTCACTCAGAAAGTAGTTTTCTTTACTCTAACTGTGGGGACCCTCACTGAGCACCTCTCAGATGTTAAAAGAAAAATAAACCAGCTTATTTAATAGAGTAGAGTTTTAACAGAGCAAATCTTAACACAATCTAAAACAGGTAGTTTCTTATTTATTTTGGAGTGGGTTTTGTTGTTGTTGTTTTGTTTTGTTTTTTGCTATAGGGTTCATGCGCTCGCCAGGCAGACAGACAGACAGCAAGAAACTGCAGTACCTTCTCCTCCGTTCTCCTCTCGGGATCCTGGACATGCACATACGCGTGCCCAGCATGAGTTTTAAGCCACCGGGTCTGGGACTTGAACCGCAGTCGACTACATGGGAGTCCAGTGACATAGCCATTACACTAACTGCTGGTTCCTAAACCAGGTAGTTGAACCTTGACTTCCAGACAACTCCAACCAGCCTTGTCATCAACTTGGTCTTTTAAATCAGCAGAACTGAAAAGTGTCATACAAAAAACGTAAGTGAGGGAGTGAGGTAGAGAAATCATTGGCTACATTCTGAAGTTTCGTCTGCATTAACATGGTTTAAAAGGTGGGATGTCTGTGACTGACTGAAGCCTAGCTGCTGTGATTGACTGTAACCTAGCAACCAGCTCAGAAAAACAGCCGAACATGTAGGATTTCCACTTACCCATAGGAATCAAGGTGTAGGAGTACAACGGCTGTTTAAGGCCAAAATGGTTTAATTTGACACAGAGAAACCTTCCTGTGTTCCCCAGTTACACCCTATTGCTCCCGCCTCTCAATTCCAGAACAAGGATATAGTGAATGTGGTGACTCCAGGCTTAAGAGGAGGATTCTCGGTGTCATGGAGAGGTGACAGAAGTCATGCAGCCCCTTCCCAGGAGGCCCAAGGGTCCTGGGCAGAGGGGAAGAGGCCATGCTCGCACCTGCTTGTGCCTGGTTCCCACATAACCTGGCTGGCTTGGCCCTGGTTCTCCTGGCAGACTTCCCTGCCTTTTACCTGGTCCAATCCGGGAAGCCCTACCTCCGCCCTGCCCAGTCCAAATTCCCAACCTGGGTGAATCACTGATCAGCAGTTAGACTGTCCCAGTAACCTCTGGGTGAAAAGCAGCCCACCTGCAGCAAAGGAAACACACAAACCACCAGTGGACCATGTGGCTAGACCAGCCCCACCGGTGGCTGAGCGCTATGGCCTGTGGACTCCTGCTGCTGCTTGTCAGGAGCCAGGGTGAGGTTCCAGAGTGGGGCAACAGGGACCCGGGTCGGGTCTGCCAAATTGTGCAAGCAGAACCTGAGACCGTGGGAGGGCAGGCGCCTGGGAGGTAAGTAAGAATTGGAGGGGATGACAGCTCAGGAATTGTGCCCCTGCCACGCCTCCCAACTGCCTGGGTAGGATCCCTGACAGGCAGAGGGAGTCGGGTCTGCCCCGGCCACATACCAGGGGGCGAGCTGAGTGGGAGGGAATCTGAACAGTGAGAGGAGTGCACTGATAGGCGGGGTTAAGAGGGACAGAAGAATTCAGCCTCTCCCTGTTGAGCTTGTAGACCAACTGGCACTGCCTGCGGTAATAACGGATAATCACACCTCCTGCCAAGGTATGATTATTGGCTGTGAGTCTCAGGCCCTTAGCCAGAGGGGCACCCTGGTCTCCTAAGGGGTTGTAGGCAGGGTTACTGGCCCTCAGGGAGTACAGAACCCCCAAGGCGCCATGTTCCTAAAGCTGCTCTCATAGATCACCTGTGTCCCTCTCATGCCATGTGCCAAGCCCTGCCCAGTCATGACTCAGCTCCCAGGGCAAAAGTAAGGGGGCGGGCACTGGGGCAAGTCTGCCGCTCTTGACCTCTGCCTCTACCTGTACAACCAGACTATCCTCCATCCTATCCCTATCTAATCTGACCAGGAAGAGTCCACACTCACCCCTTCCCTATGGCCCAACCCTACAGGGGCTTCCTCCCTTTACCTGAAGTTGATCAGGCTCTGGGAGTCACCCGGACCTTCTAGGCAGGAAGATCTGTCCTGCCTGGCTGATAAGTCCCTTTTAAAATGTCGTTTTGGGGGACCAGCAGATGCCACTGGACTCCCACGATGCAGTACGAGTCCCAGACCCAGCGCCTTGAAACTCATGCCAGGCGCATGTGCACGCATGTCCCAAATCCTGAGAGGACACTAGAGGAGAAGGAATTGCAGCGTGCGCCCCCGCCTGGGGAATGATTTCTCACTTTATAATTTTGGAGGGCTGGATGGTCACATAGCCACAGCAGTGAAGTAAGATGTTCTGCTAGGCTGACCCAGATGGAAATGAGCTGGACTTACCCAGAGACTTCTGAATACCCTGGGCATGTGCCCGTGATCGGGCTGGCTGACGCTGGGGGTGAATTGCTATGACAAGACCCTGTTGGCCATGCTGTTTCTCTGTCTCTTTGCAGTAGAGCCATCCCCTTTGAGGGGGCTTTCTCACTTTCTCTTTGTCTCTCTCCAGTGAGTTCATGCACCCTATAGCAGTTTTTTTTTTTAATTTTAAGTTTTTTAATTTTAAGATTTTTAATTTTAAGTTTATTTCTTCCACAAGAGAAAGAAATAGCACCCCTACAGGATCTTGATACTGTGTTCCACTCCCAAGTCTTCCCATGCATCAGCCTTGAGGAGCTGCACTCACACATGCCCAGCAGGACTTGAACCATGTACATGTGGGACCCACCATACCACCTGACTGGCCCAAGGCATGTTTCTCAAACCACTTGTTCAGTCACGTGAGGTCTGACTCCTTTATTCATAAGGCCATGGGGCAGGCACTGGAGAATGTTTTCTTTGTCATTTTTTTGTCGCCTCAAGGACAAGATCCCTGAGGACAGGAACCTTGTCTGCCCGATTCCCACAGTTTTCCCACTGCCTCACATGACCTGGCACACAGTAGTTGAAAGGACACTTTGGTCCCATCAAAGACATGTCTACCTCAACATCTACACACCCGCCCATGCCCATGAGGGCTCTCACCTGCCTAGGACTGATTGGTGGTGCCAGCCCACTGAGCCTGGGGGGATAGGCTGGGGCTGAGCGCAGTGAAGGCAGTGGAGGTGAGGGGGCAGTGTTGCAGAGAGGAAGTTGGTAAAGCCAGTGTTTATAGATTGGGGTCCCTTGAGCTAAGCTGAGGATAGTAAAGAGGTGGTAAGGTGGCAATACCCACAGTGTGGAGGGCAGCTGATCGGACAGACCCAAACCTAATGTCCATCTCTCTACCCACAGGCCAGGACTCTGCCAGCCCCATCCGGATCACGCTCACAGGGCAGGTGCAGGGAAGCCTCGTCCATGTGAGAGGCACTGATGTTGGGGTCTATGCCTTCCTGGGAATCCCCTTTGCTAAGCCGCCTGTAGGGCCACTGCGGTTTGCACCCCCGGAACCTCCTGAGTCTTGGAGTGGTGTGAGGGATGGGACTTCCTACCCAGCCGCGTAAGTTCTCCTGGGGGAGGGGGCATGCAAGGAGCTCCAGACCCTGTGGTGAGGGTACTCTGAGCTCTGGGCCATGCAAACTTATTTCATCTAAACTCCCACAACCAGTTTTCCCTCTGAGTTTAGTGGCCACCCACCTGCGTTTTTCGATGGGCATGCTGAGGCTTGGAGGGTGGAGTAGTTTTCTCAGGCTCCTATGCAGGGCTTGGCACTCGGAGGGCATTAGCTCCAGGTACTGAAGGGAGGAGGCGAGACGCATGTCTCCACAGATCCTAGGTATGCTATTTGTCCTCTGCCACCAGTGGGAAGTGGCTCTGGGAGAGGTCCAGGTTGGCTCTGTGAGCCTTGGCAAAGTCCCAACCTCAGGTGCAGATCTTGCATATCCCTGGGGAGGGCAGCAGTGTGGCTCTCTGGGATCCCCAACTCTCCGCAGTCACTGTGCCAACCAACAGGGTCAGGTGCCAAGAGACACATGTATGTTCTCACACCTGGAGACTGTGTGGGAGGGATGAGGTTTCCTGACTCGGTCAGGATGAAGGATGTCCCCCTGCCCTTCTCATAAGAAACGAGTCTCTACTCAGTCATTGCCACACGTGCAGGTAGGCTCTTCCCCGGGCCCAGGCCTGAGTGGGTCCAGGTGAATGTGTCAGTGGTGATTTCCCTGCCTCAAGAGAAGTGGTATCCAGGCCCGTCAACAATTGTAAGGCCTTCCTGGAGCTCCAGGCTTCACCCCGGCTTCCCAGAGCCTGTGGCCTATGATTTAATGGGAAGAGTCTTTGGAGAAGGACCATGCAGGAGCTGAGTACTAGTGGGGTGGGGGCAGGGGGGCAAGGAGGGCTGAGAGCAAATCTGGACTCAGAGTCTGGTTTCAGCCACAGCATGGCCCCTGGATTGACTGTTTGCCATGACCACCAGATGTCTCCAGAACATCACGGCAATGAATTCCATGGTTCTGTTCTTACGGAATCTGAGCCTGCCTTCCACCACATCTGAGGACTGCCTCTACCTCAACATCTACACACCCGCCCATGCCCATGAGGGCTCTCACCTGCCTGTGAGTGACATGCCATGGTCAGCTGGGGGTGGGAGGACATTGCTTCTGCAAGATTAGAAAGGAGAAGACCAGCCTGGGCCCCACTGCACAATAGACCCTGTTGGGAAGCCTCTCACTATCAGGTCCAAGAGGTTCTTCTTACCCAGAGTAGGCAGGTGACCTCTGGGTATGGGGCCCTAGCTGCTCCCAGAGGTCAAAGGTTATAACTCTGGGATGGACCCAGGACTTACCCAACCAACTTGTGCCCAGGAGACCCACTCAGGTGCTCCATGGCTACACTTTGACGTCACCAAAGACTCTGACCATGGCCTATCTGTTGAGCTAATGAGAATGGAAGACATTTTTGAGTAATATACACAGGGGATGGCCAAGGAGACTCTTCTGTTTCTACCTCAGAGTGGGATCTGAGAGAAATGGAGCCAGGCTTTGTTGCATGAAGTAGACCCCAAATAAGGGAACACTGATATTCCTCATAGAACTTGGGATCCTTTCCCCATGGCCTTTCCCCACACATGGTGTGAAGGCTCCCCAGAGTTCCATCCATGGGGGTGGGTGGACAGAACCCAAGCAGTGCTTAGTCTGGGGAGCAGTCTGGTGGGGGGGCTTGGGCTGGTGGGAATCACATGGCACTACCTTGATTTCCTCAGGTGATGGTATGGATCCACGGTGGTGGGTTTGTGTTAGGCACGGCTTCCATGTATGACGGGTCTGTGCTGGCAGCCTTCGAGGACGTGGTAGTGGTCACTATTCAGTACCGCCTGGGTGTTCTGGGCTTCTTCAGGTGAGGGGCTGGGCTGGGCAATGTGGGCTTAGTGGGGCCAGGACAGCTGTGATCCCAGCCCCTGCCTTCTCAGCACTGGAGACCAGCATGCAGCTGGCAACTGGGGCTACCTGGACCAAGTGGCTGCTCTACGCTGGGTTCGGCAAAACATCGTTCACTTCGGAGGCAACCCTGACCGAGTCACCATTTTTGGCGAGTCTGCTGGTGGCATAAGCGTGTCCTCCCATGTCGTGTCCCCCATGTCCCGAGGACTCTTTCACGGTGCCATCATGGAGAGTGGTGTAACCCTGTTGCCTGGCCTCATGGTCAACTCGTCCGACATGATCTCCACGGTGAGTCCTTCAACTGTGGCAGCCCAGTCCTGCTGCCTGGCCTCTTACCTCTCGGAGCCACTTTTACTCTGTCTGTTCATGGGGATAGCAAAGACCATTGGGTGCTTGGGGGACTGCCCTCTCTCCAGGATTGCTGAGGCGCTCAAGGATAGGACCGTCTGCCATTGCAGAGGTGGAATACATTCTGTGGCCTGCCAAGCTGCCACCACAGAGGCTCCCATCATGGGCAGAATCATCTCTGCAGGTGGAATGGCCCCTCGGATTGAGACCTCAGAGCCTCAGGGAAAGTAGAACAATTTTGCACCACAGAAATCCGCACATGATGCCCTGCGAGATGTGACGTGCACCTGTCCCCAGCTGGGGCCTTCAGCAAACCCTTCCCTACCACCTGATCCCTTTACAGATGGTGGCCAACCTGTCCGCCTGTGGCCAGGTTGATTCCAAGGCCCTGGTGGACTGCCTGCGGGGCAAGAGTGAAGAGGAGATTCTGGCTATTAACAAGGTGGGGCCAAATGGATGCAGGTGTGGAGGGCATGGGGAGCCCTGGAGTGTGAGGCAGGCAGATGGTGCCCTTCACACTCCCTGGGCAGGTTACCTCATCTCTGTGCTCGGGTGTCCTCCCATCTCTGGATGGGAAACTGAGGCTGAGGCATGCTAAGGCAGGCGGAAGACCTGCTGGCGGGTGCGAGTACCCTGGGAATGAGCAGGGGGAATGGAAGGCCCTCGAAGGGCATCCGAGCATGTCTGGGGCCCCACCTTGCCATGTCCCCTAAGCTCTTCAAGGTCATCCCCAGTGTGGTGGATGGAGCCTTCCTGCCCACACACCCCAAGGAGTTGCTGGCCTCTGCTGACTTTCACCCTGTCCCCAGCATCATTGGTGTCAACAACGATGAGTTTGGCTGGCTTATCCCCAAGGTGAGGCCCAACCCCAGCACCCAAGTTGGGGAGTCTCGGGGCTTCATAGCTCCAGGTCCATGGTATACCAACCCGAAACTCTCCTGCCGCCCAGGAAATGGACAAAGCTCAAGCCCAGATGGAAAAAGACAAAGAGACATTGAAGGCTTTTCTGCAGAACGTATCAACAGCAATGGTAAGCATCCTGGGGTCCTGCCCTGAGCCAGGGGAAACACTCCCCGCCTCCCCCAGATATCTTGACCACGTGGCATCCCCATGAACAAAGGCTGGGGCATGAGCGTATTTGTAGGTGGGTCTCCCAGGGTTTGGCCCTTTCCCCACCCCAGGACTGATCTTGGCTTTGAGGCGGCCACCTCCCTGCCCCAGGAAGCCTGCCTAACATGACTCTTCCTGACCCATGTGGGGTAGCTGCTGCCTCCCGAGTTCACTGACCTGTTGATGAAGGAGTACATAGGGGACAGTGAGGACTCCCAGACCCTCCAAGCTCAGTTCCAGGAGATGATGGCGGACTTCATCTTCGTGATCCCTTCGCTCCAAGTAGCACATTTCCAGCGTGAGTACCTCTGTAGCCGAGGCCTGACTGGCAGGGGTCAGCCTGAGCTGTGGGTCCCAAGTGAGACCAGTCAGTGTCCAAGTCCCTACCCATGTCTATATAGGGGCTCTGAGTGCCAGGCACTCAATAACCCTCATCTCTTGGGACCAGCAGTTGGCGTAATGGCTATGTCGCTGGACTCCCATGTAGTCGACTGCAGTTTTGAGTCCTGGACCCAGTAGCTTAAACTCACGGTGGGTGTGTACACGCGTGCCGAAGATCCTGAAAGGAGAATGGAGGAGAAGGGATTGCGGCATGGCCATCCGCCCTGGGGGGTGATTTCTCACTTTCTGTCTCTCTGTCTCTCTCTGTCTTTCTGGCAAGAGCACGCACCCTACAGCAAAAACCTCTCAAAAAAAAAAAAAAGAAAAGAAAAGAAACAAACAAAACCCCCTTCATCTTAGTAAATCCTCACGCCTTGTCCAAGAGATGGCTATTTCTTCCAGTTTATAGATGAGGATACTGAGGCTAGTGAGCTTCAGGGACTTGCCCAAGACCACACAGCGAGAAGTGCAGGGCCATGCTTTAAGCCAGGCCCTTCCCACTGCCCCAGCTCCAGCCTGGCACTCCCCTCCCCGCTGCCCAGATTCTAGCCAGCTTTGACCTAGGTACCTTGTCACAGTGCGTGATTCAGGAAAGCTCTAGGCAAGGGGCCACGACATCCTGGCCTGTCCACTCCTTCCTAGGTTCCCGTGCCCCTGTTTACTTCTACGAGTTCCAGCATCGGCCCTACTTCTTCAAGGACATCAAGCCGCCCCACGTGAAGGCAGACCACGGTGATGAGATTATCTTTGTCTTTGGATTCTTCTTCAGCAACAACCACAGTGAGTTTTCCTCCTTTCCAGGAGGGGAGATAGGACCCGGTTGGACCCCTGAGGGGTGATTGCCCTCGCTGTACAGAGGAGCAAACTGAGGCCTAGAGAGAAGAGAGGATCTCACAGCTCCAAAGGCTGAGCCGGAATTCAAATCCAGGACTCTTCTTTTT